CGGCCGCTGCCTCTCCCATCTCCATCTGCTGCCTGGTGACCCCCAGTTTGCAGGGGACACTGAGGCTCGGGTCTCACTGCGCCCCCATTTGCCCCCCCTCCGCCGAGCGAGCACGGACGTTCTGGGCAATCGCAGCCTCGCGGACAGGCCCCGGCCAGTACCCAGGCCACAGAGACCCCACCCCTGTCCACAGGGAGCCGAAAGGAGGAGCAGCCCCGCCTAGATCGCTCCCCGCCCCAGCCAGCTATGTGGCACGAGGCAGACGCGCCCCTCTCCTCCCCATCCCGGGGCAGCCCGGTGCCCTCTCCGCCAGGGCCGTGCCCCTGCCTGGGTGCCTATTTGTGGGTCGGTTCTGGCCAGATGCGGGAGACGCTGCCGCCCCCCAAAAGCCTGTCATTTTAGCTAGCACAGAAACGCTCCCCGGCCGCATCTGCTCCTGTTTAGCAGCCCTGAGCCACAAGAAAGGCGAAACCCCGGGTAAGTGGAAGCAAATGTTGCTGGGAGCAGCGGAGAGAGACTCAACAGAGCAGAGCCAGCAGGGCCTGGCTGCTCGGCCTGCCCTCCAAGGAGCAAGGGGTCCGGTCTCCTTCCCCGGGGCAGGGGGCCTGCGTGGCTCAGCTCTCAGCCAGGCGCCGAGCCCCTCAGCAGAGCAACCCTCGAGCAGCCTAGCTCCGGAGCAGCCGTGCTCTAGAGATCGCTGCGCCGCTCGCGCCCGTCGGTCTCCCTGCATGTCCACAATGCAGCGCGCTCCGGCCATATCAACGCGCCGCGTGCCAGGCCCTGCAATTCCCCCCAGAACAGACACCTGGGGGGGGGAGGGACTCGGGAGACAGGCAGGTTGGGCGATGGGCCCCGTTTGCTGCTCTAGAGCACTGGCCCCAGCTCCGATCCCACCCGCAGGCCCCTGCTCTGGTGGGGCCTCCGGGCAGGGAGGAGCCCGCCTGGGCCCCGAGACCAAAGCAAACAAGCGCAGGGAAGGAAGAAGAGAACACCGCAGGCAGGGAACGCCAAGGGGCCAAGCCTGCTGCCAGCTGGAACAGGCCCCCCAATTTTGGGCTTGAAAAATATCCCCAGCCCCAAGAAAACACAAGGCGCGGGGGCCTCTCCCTAGGAGCCAGCGGCTGCCAGGAAGCAGCAGCGCCCAGGCCCAGGCGAAACACACTGGGAGGGGGAAGAGAGCCAAGATGATGCTGGGCCAACATGGGGCGCACAAGGATGTGGCTCTGGGCACCAGGCCACCCCCCAACACACACACAGCAGAAAGGGGAGGCCACAGAACCTGAGAAAGCCAGGTCCAGAAATCAGACCCCTTGGCGGGTCACACGGCTCCCCCGCCCGCCAGAGGGAGCTTGTGCTGCCAGCAGCCTGGGCCACGCTGCCCGTGCACCTCGGGTAGGGGAAGAGGACCCGGCAGCAGGGAGGGGAGCCCACGGACGCAGCCTGCAGGAGGATGAAGCCCCGTGGCAGCAGGCTCGGCCAAGCACCAACAGAAAAGATAACGGGGGCTCCTGGCTCATGTGCGGGGCTGCACGCCCCAGCCCTGAGCTCCCTGGACCCCCGGCTGTGGTGCCCGGTGGCCTGGCTTCCAACACACCCTGGGCCTGGGGAAGGGGCACCGGGGCAGGCAGCCCCCAGCAGGGAGGGCTTTGCAC